TTCAATTTTAATTACTACATACTGTAGTTAATGCCAGTGTTAATCTGTTTTAAACATCTTCAGAAAGGAAAATAAATCAGGAACCAATTTTTGCTTTAACTTCACATGACTGCATGGAAACTTTTAGGGGGTTGTCTTCAGAAAAGAGTATTTCTCATTTGTAAAAGATCAAGTTTTTGGTCAAACCAGATAACATTCCTAAGGAGTTTAATAAGGTCTAAAATACATTTTTGTAACACACATACTGTCTTAAATCTGATCATGTGTGCATTTTTTGTTATTTTTTTACTTAATTGGGTGCCATGACACTTCCCCATTAATGGCATGCATGGATTAAAAGTTATATTCTGACATCCGTAAAAATGTAATGCCAGCAAAGTCTTTAAATGAGGTACCATAGTTCTGGCTGATGCTTAAGTTAGTTGTAATTAAAATTAAGCACCTGGTTTGAAGCACTGTTCCAACTGACAACCTTGTTATAGTATACTTGAGTGCCAAAAATGTCTACTGTGTGCCTGTAAATTTGAATTACAAGTTCAGTAGGTAGTAGAGAAAAAGGCATCATTGCTGGTTCTAAATTACAGGAACTGTTCTGCTTTTGATTAACCACCCAATCCTGACTAAGGAGTTAGTTTCTCTATGACTGTGGGTTCATGGGATAAGAAGAATGCTATAACCTCCCAAATACCATCTTTCGTTTTCCTGATCTTGGAGCATTTTACAGCAAATGCACACTGGTTTTGTTTTGTTCCTCATATTAGATGGAAACTTTCATTGTAAATACTGTCTGTGTTGGGCAGAGGAAAGAGAAGCAAGTCTGGATTATCTGTTTTAGAATTGAAAAGGATTAAGATTGCCTTAATCTGATTATGAAACCACACCCCAAACATCTTAATTTCCCTCTCTGCCTCTGTTCACCCAGTGACCATTGCTGGGATATCTTGGCTGATTAGGGATCCTGGATATATTTTGGTGCACTGCTTTGAGCGGACCTAGCTTGAAGTGTCTAGCCAGTCTGACTAGAATAGACCTGAAATAAAAACTTCCAGGAGATGGTTTTTGTTTCCATGTTACAAACTATACTACCTGTTAAGGCATGATACCCACAATGCATGAAGGTAATGAGTATGTTCCTTACAAATTCTTTTTTTTTTTTTTCTTAAGCTTTGCTTTGGTTTTCTTTATTGTCTTGGAACTAGATCACAGTTATTTAATGACAAATTCTAACTAGAATCTTTATTAAATAACTGCAGTGTGTATATGCAAAAAACCCCTGCTTTCCTACCTCCCATTTTGCCCATTAGAGACTCTCTACTCTTTTTCAAAGTACCCAATGAAAAACTTAAGAAAAAAACACTGGGTGCTGCACTTTGAGGACCATTTATGTTTTACACAAAAAAATACCATCCCTACTTACATTGCTTGTCAATAAAAAATTATTCTTGAGTGATTGCTTAATCCTTTCTGCTCTGGGAAAGATTCTCTGGGGGGTGTGGAGTTGCTTTGTTGATTGAATAGTACATGATTTTCAATATTTGTATGAGTAGTTAACTTTTATAATGGAGATACAAAGCTCCTTCTGGAATCTGATTAGCTCAGCAACCATAACATTAAAATATTTTCAGCACGAACACAGGAGTTCAGAGTTCACACAGCAATATCATGGAGTTCTTCTACCTGTGTGATGACAGTAATTATGATCATTATTCATTGTATTTGGAAAATATTAAAGTGTTAGAAAACCCTACCCACGGTATCTCACAAATGTAGGGGGTGGGGGCTATATCTATGAAGATTCTACATTGAAGTTGTTTAAAAAAAAAACAAACACAAAAAAACCCCAAACAAGTATACTCTTAATTTACCTATTTTCGGTCCAGCTGCACACATTTACAAAGAGGAGTGTATGTTGAAATTTGACACTGTGGTGACTGAAAGCACATGTTGTACTGAATTACAAAGTATACTTCTAATATATCTTCAAAAGGAAATGTATTCTCAATTTACAGTAAGCCTTGGCTAGGAAGGACAGAAAAGAAAAAAAAATATTTTTTTTTCAGCAAATGAAGAACATTTTAAATTTATAACTTTATGCAGGATTGCCAGGGCCTGAGGCAAAAAAAAAAAAGAACCCAAACAGCAGAGCATACACCTACTTTACAGCTGCAAAAATAATTACATGATGACTATCTGTGGAGTAATCTCTAATGGATTACATTTTGTTAGCATTTCATTATGTGAAGTTAAAGCCAAAATAATTCATAGTAAATGGAAAGAAAAATACTTGTTTTGATGTATCTCTGGTCTGGACCTTTGACATCCTCCTAAGGTGTTATATTATGCATCACTTAATTTGTGAAAGGTCTTGGTTTACAGACCAGGTACTATGCTTGTAAAACTGATCTGGGACTAGGGAGTGTAGAAATTACTGAAGTAATTTGGTTTTATTATGCTAGTACTGGACTTCTTGTTGCTTCAAAGGTGCTAAAAGCTATCTGAGGTCTATCTGATAGGATATCCTCTTGGATGTACAAGATCTTTCAGACTTGAAAAGCCCTTATGTTTTTGAAGATCACTACACTTGGGTTTTTTGTTTTGGTTTGGTTTTTTGTTTTGGTTTGTTTTGCTTTAACTTAAGGGCATTCCTTTTTATATATCTCTTAGCTTTATCCAAGTGATACAATCTTCAGCAGTAATAAGAGTCTTCTTATCCATGGTCAAAACACCCCTTTTATTGTGTTGCAGTAAACCTGCGATGTAGCAAATAAACTCCTCTACACTTTCATGTTCTGTTGGCTCTGGGGTCTGCATGTGTGTGAGGTTTTAGTTTCTTGGTGCAACTTCTGTTTGTTCTTTTATGTTCTTTAGTTTGGAGAAGTGTATGGGGAGAAAGACTAATAATATGACCAGTGGCACTCCAAATCAGATCAAGATCAGAACTCTCTTAAAGTAAACAGAAGGAATTCTTTGACTTCAGAAGCAGCATTGTCAGCCCAGCTACTTATGCTACATGATTTACTGTATCTGGATGGCTTAAGGGCTACTTGGGAACACAAGAAGTTGAATCTAGTTACTAATACCATATTCAGTATAAATTGTATGAGTATATGTAAGGTTTTCAGTTTATGTGAGTAGTATTTTAATGCTTCCATGACCAAAATAATTGGATGTGTCCAATTTTGATCCATCAATATTTAGGGGAATGTAGTAAGGAAGCTGCAAGAGAATGCAGGTTAATGAAGTTTTGTTGAAAGCAGAAAGGAAGCTAAAGGATCAATCATTTGATTTGATGCAGACCTGGTGAAGTCTGGAGTATACTTGAGTCTTGTTGGGACACAGATGTTCTTTGGTACTTTGAGAAATTATATCCTGTTTCTAGTGCAGTGGTAAAATACTCTATATATGTTGCGTTTGATGTCCATCTACACTTCTGCATCAATCTGGAACTTTGCCTATTGAGGCATCAGAATGTAATGTAGATGTACTTTTGAAGGAAAAAATAGAAGTTCTACTGATTATTGAGAGTGCTATTTGCCAGTAACTCTCCAAAGCAAAGAACTGCAAATTATTTTTCCTCCCCTCATTTTAGATTAGATCGCATAGATGAAAGTAGATGTAAAAAAGATATGTCCCTCTGTCCCAAAGTAGATGACCCATTTGCCATTACACCATTTTAAAAGGTCTTAACAGCATGGAAGACCTTATGGACAGGAATGCTTGCAGTCTGCATGCACACCCCCATTCCTTAATGTTTAACAATAAATAAACCTTGGTTTGAAGCAGCATTAACAACTCAACCAGTATTCAGTGGTGAATGTCCATATAGCTGAGGTCCATGTCTTGGGGCATGTATTCTTTGCTGCAGATTCTTGGCACTATTTGCTGTTGACACAAGATTTTTGCAAGTAGCAATGTCAAAATTCTAAGAGTCTGTTGGTTGTAATGTACTTTCCCATTACCATATCCTCTGTTCATTGTGGATCGAGTAACAGCAGTGGAGAGGACTAGAATGTTGCATTAGATATAATTTGAGTTATTAATTTTTTTATTAAACCTAGTGCCATTAACTTGGCAAGACATAGGAATGTCATTATTCTGTTAAACTCTGTCCCTGTATAGTGGTCTGATGAGCACAGTCTCATGTCTTTTCTCCCGTGTTCCCTGTGTGATCTGATGAGCACAGTCTCATGTCTTTTCTCCCAAAAAGCTCACACAGCTATTGGTAAAATTCATAGTGTAAATTCATAGGTAATTCATAGGTAAAATTTAGTATTTTTCTATGAAAAAATGTATTTCTATGAAATTCTTCCAAATTAAGTATGTGGTCCTGCTTCAGGCTAAGACTCCTAGTGATCAAGAAAGATTTATTTTATTTTAATTTTTTTTTTCTTGAAAAACCAAATTGCAAAGATGAGTTTGGCTAAAGCTCACAGATGTTTGGCATCTTATATTGTCATTAAAGAACTGGGAAGTTTAGTCAGTTCATTTTTGCCATAAAGTCAGAGATGGATCCTATTCATATGGCCAACGGCCAATTTCTAACCATAAAACTTCAAGCTAATAGCGGGTTGACCTTGTGTCTCAAAACAAAAAGGTCAGAAAGCAGTGTCTGCCATCCTTCTCCTCAAGTGGTGTTCAACCTAAGAAGAAGACCTTGTGCCGTCCTCAGATGTGACAGGAATCCTGTGCTCACACACTAGGCAGGTGCTATGCCAAGAACTACCGTGAGGCAGCTCTTCTGTGCCCGTTTCACCTCTGTCAGTATTAGTCACTTGACATATATGTTGGAAGTTAAACACAAGTTGTACCTGGGTTTTCTCTGTTGCTGTGTGGAAATACCAGAGACCATCCACAGATGCCAAATGAAATTCATTAACTGAATTCTGTATTAATATAAAGTACAATGTCAGCAGGGACCATTAGAGGCCAAAACAAAATGCTTTGCTGTGCTCCTGGTGTATTGCAGGATAATTTTATACTTAATTTCTTTATTCTTTCAGTTCTACGGGATGACTTCCGACAAAATCCATCAGATGTAATGGTAGCTGTGGGTGAACCTGCAGTGATGGAATGTCAGCCACCAAGAGGTCACCCAGAACCCACTATATCGTGGAAAAAAGATGGGACTCCTCTAGATGACAAAGATGAGAGAATTACAGTAAGTATAAAATTATTCAAACAATGAAAAAAAAATATATATAATATTACTAGTCTCTTGAGCATATGGGCATCCAGCCATGCTGTACTTTCTAGGAACCGTCCCTTCCTTGCCTTGGAGGCAAGGCTCGTTTACATTTTGTTTGGAATGCATCCTCTAGTCTCATACCATTTCATTGCAGGGTATGCATTTGCTTGTTAAAGGGGACCATGCAAAACCTATGTTGTTCTCTTCCTCAGAGGAATGTTAAGCTTGTGGAAATGAAATCCATTATATTTGTCGCTGTCCTATAATTTTCTTGCCTTTATCTCCTTACAAATTTCTGCAACCTATAATGTCTGCCTTCTTTGGTTGGAAAATAGGAACTACTAGTGGTCTAGGTGAGACCTTCTTTTGTAATTCTGTTGAAAAGAATCCATGCAGAAAGGTTGTGCATTGTATTAGAAAGGATAAGAAGGATTTGGGGCTGTAGTCACATTTCTGTAGATAGATGATGGCTTATCCTGCCCTCTTAAATTAAGCTGTTTTCTCATTAGAGGTGTTGTCATACTCATTTGTATCTGTAGCTTGCTGAATACAGTGTGCAGTTATTCAAGAATATGGATAAAGCAGCTTTTCAAATCATAAAACTATCCTTCTACTGATTTTTGACGTGAAACAATAAGCTAGTGAGCCTAAATGACAATGAAAAATGGAGTTTAAAAATCATTTATATGCTGCCAACATGATGATACAAAACATGTTTCTGTATGGTGAGGAACTGTACCATCTTAAAGCACATACTGTACAGGATCCTGTGGGTACTGGGAGGATTACTAGCATAGAACAAGATCAGAGGCATGTACAATTGATTTACCTCAATCGTATGCTAAAATGAGAGAAATTTTAATGGAAGAACGCTTAAACACCAACATTCTAACTAAAAAATTACCATTGCTGTTTGAGATTTAAATCGCCTGTTATGTTTGGGTTGTTTTTACAAACAAGAGGAAGCTCAGGCATTCTGTAGTTGTTGCATATGCATACATTTAAATTTTTAAGTATCCTACCAAACCTATACTGATTGCTGGCTATTAACTGAAATCCTCCAATCATAGTTGCTAAGAACTTGCAATTTCCTCTTCAAATCACCATCCCACTGTGACAAGTCAATTGACCCGAGATAAAGAGAAGATTCCAGTGCTACTTTTTTTGTTTTGGTTTGGCTTCTTTGTGGTTGTTTTTTTTTTTTTTATTTCCTTTTCTAGGAAATGCTTTCTAAACTTGCATTTTCTATTGCTATAGTTTATTCTTGTGAAGCATTTTCAAGTGTTGCCTAACTACATTTCTTTTGTTATACATGAAAACTGCTCTTCTCCTTCTGCCAGAACAAAGACATACCTAGAACAAAAGCAACTATCACTGACTGGCAGTGCCACCTGTATTTATTAAAACTGTGCTTATGATGGAATAAAGCCCCTCAGTTTTGTTTTGTTTTCTAATTATTGTATTACAAACTCACCTATATAGTATTTTTTCACCATGACATCTGGTGGAGTTATCTTGTGTTGTCAGTTTCTGCTTGCGAAACAAACACATGAAAATGAGTTTCGATATAGGTGCCCACGTGAGTGTTTGTTTTCAGAGGCATGAATTAACAGTGCTGTGATAGCTAGCTCAACTGCATTATTTTGTGTCATATTTGCCTGGCTTTTTCTTAGGCAGCACTTTCTCACACAGGCAAGAGACTAAAGCTACATTGTAATGCAGATTTGCATCCACTTACAGCTGTAGCAGGATATTGCCAAGTAGATAAATACGCATTCAGATGTAAGTCTTAAGAGCTTTGCAGTAACAGTCTTTATGGTCTTGTTAGTGGCTGCGAGGTGAGGGAAGATGGGGACCTGGAATGGACAATATGTTGAAGGACAGATGGGCAAAAAAAATCAATTTTGGAACCTGACTTAGTCAACTTCTGTTAACTTACCTCCTTTAGGCAATTTCCATTTCAGTTTATCAACAGGAACATAAAGAAATTAAAGAGTACAACAGCTGAAATAAGGATGAAGTTGTTGGGTTTTACATGATAGATTTCAGCTATACATTAAATGAACTTTTTTTTTAAAGTATTTTTAATTTAAGTGCTTATGTTTAAAATGAACACCTCCATTCTTTTGATGGCAAAATTATAACTCAGTAAGACTAACTTTCAGGTAATACAGTTTATAGGTGTTACCTTCCTCTTTTTAAGCCATGAAACTACCAGATGAGGAAATGTCTAGCTGTGTGTGTTGGTGTTCAACACCTATGTAATACCAGTGGGCATTTAATCAATGAAGATACTTCAGTGGCTCCACTTCTAAAGCATTTCCAGTTGTTCTTACTTTGAAAGATTTGTTCATCTTTGATGTATTACCATTTTAAGAGGCCATTTAAAAGGTCAAAGGCCATTTAAAGCATTTCACATTAATACTTTCCTTTCTGACAAGAGCTTTAAAACAAAGATTGTATTTCCTTTTGAATAAGGGTTGATGCTTGACACCTCTTTTTTATTCATATCTGAACTTCCTTCAAACAGATGGTATGCCCATTGAAGCAACCTTTTGAATATGTGGAAGCTTTTTCCCTCACCTGCAATGACAATGTTGATCTTTGAGTCAACAGAAGTTGGCTTTACAGACTGATCATTAAGGGTGCTGGAGAAATAGATGCATTAGCTTGGTTCCTGACAGAGTTTGAAGAAAGAGACATAGATAAATAGTTAAATAAGATCCAGGTTAAGGCACAAGTTCCTCTGGAATGCAATAAAAAGAAAATATTATTTTGTCCTGGAAGGGTTAAGGAAATTGATATATTTATATAGGTGAGATAATAAAAATCAAAGTGTTCTTTGCGTATTTTGGTCCATTTGTAGGACAAATAAATGTGCTTTGAAGAGAAATAAATTTATATGACTTTCAGGTTAGAAACAGTAGTGAATGGAATAAATAAGAAATCAAAGTTAGGGTATGGGCACAGATATCTGTGGTAGGGATTATAGAAACAGACACACAGTACTGCTCAGTTTTAGCGCAAGAGACTTGGTTAGGCTCTTCAGAGTCGACTGGGTGGAAAATGATCAAAACATTTTTTTCCTGCTGCTTTTGAATATGTTGTCTATTAACAGTTTTCTCAGCACATTAGAGCTAAACATGATTTTTCTCATGTGTGTTCTTTATACCAGAGTATGAAAGCATGTGCTTGATGTGGCTAATCCTTCTCCCTGTATTAAAAACGAGGCAGGAATGACAGTCTTGCATGTGAAGCAAATGTTTATCTTTAACATCAGTTGTTGAATTGAAAAACAGTTATCATGAGGCCAGAGCAGAAGTAGTGCAATTCTATGTTCATCTTGTTATTTTTTTCTCCTGGGATTACAATGGAATCAAGAATCCCTCCTGTAATACATAGAGCTGAAAAAGGAGTGCTTCAGTGCAGTCCAGTGAAGAGCTCTAATATCTCACTGTGAGCAATGTAAAAATAAAAAATATTTTTACATTTCTGAAATGTTCTGTCTGTACTGGGAGAGGCTGTCTGACTCCCCTCTTGGAGCTGGGACACAGTGGAGAAAGAAGGTGCAAGGCCGTGTCTTAAGAGGGAAGGGAGCTCACCAGGGTCGGGAAGTTCCTCCATCTGTTCCCAGCCCTTAGTGGTGTTAACGTGCTTGGAATTGCTGTCTTGCCAGGTTAAGTTCATAGACCTGCAGACTGGTCAGAGAAAGGATCTAGGTCAGGGCTCTGGCCTTCCAGGTATCCTCACTAGGAAGAGGCCTTTCAGTCTAGACATCTCCTTTGCATGGCAGCCCAGTGTCAATGGGAGGTAGCCACGTGTTTCAGGCACTTACCTTAGGGCAAAAAGCCATGAGTTTGCATTCACTCGGGCTGAGGAGGAAGTGCTGTCAGTCTAGTTTCTGCTGACTGGTGTAATCACTGGGCCTGGTCTTGCCTAATGTATTTTGTCTATATGCAGTTGGCAGGAACATCAGTGGCCCGACTACCATTAGCAACAACTTGCCTGGGCACTCACAGCATTTGCAGTGAATATTGGCTGCTTATAAGTCTGTGAATACCTCCAGTGTACCTCTATTTACTTCTGAGCCATCCTGCTGTTGTACCCCAAAACCTTACACTACTTTTTAAATGATGTCCCTGCTGCCTTCCACACACCACTGCAAGGAAATTTTCACCTCATTCCCCATGTATTTCCTTTATCTCACAACCTGCCTTTGCATCCATCTGGCTTTTTTCTCCCACTTGTATAGCCCCACTGGTATCCTCTGATTAGTGCTAACTGCTTGGGTGGAGGTAACAATTTGGAAGTTCAGATAAGCAAAACCTCCTGCTGTATGCTGTAATGTTCTCTTCCTTCCCCTTTGCTGTTAATGTAAATGGCTGGTGTGCTGTGATTTGTAATGGTGCAGTGTTGGCTGTCTGCATTAGGTTTGCTTAGAGCCTCCCTGAAGGAACTGTGTTGCTGCTCCATCCTCTTTGTGAATCCCAAATGCAACTGCCTGTAAGACGCTGACAACAGTGATCTAACCAAGATGGTGGAGCCTTTGAGCATATCTTTAGGCAAAAACTGACAATAATTACAGACTCTCAGAAGCGCAAAGCATTCAAAGAAGATTTTGTGGATCTCCCACCTAGACAGGGCAACCTGCATGGTCTTTTGGATCTCTCTCATATTTTATGGGCAATGCCTGCATAATTAACTAAGCCTCAGTAAAATCAGGATGCAGTCAGAGTGCCTGTAATTATCAATACTTTCCTAGTGTATACAGACCTTGCATAAGCTTTGGAGCGAATTGATGTTTGAGCCAGGTTTGGAGGTCAGGATTTCACAGCTGCTTCTGTTCTTGCCCCTTGACCAGTGGTAGCCCATGCTACAGAAAGATTCCTAATTGTCATGGTTTAGATGGTAGAAGAAAAAAGCTATGCATACTGAACATGAAATTTTAATAGGTAAAATCTTTTACATATACA